GGAGGGGGGGGGGGGGTTGCTTTGCTTTTTTTAGTTGGTTTTGTTTGGTTTTGGGGTTTGTTTTTTTTTTTGAGAGGCTGAGGCAACGGAACTATGCAACTTAAAGACAGATTTTTGCCCTCCCTGCTCGTACTCTGTATTTCAGAAACTCTGCTTAAAGCCACCTGCATCCCTGCGTATATCTGCACATACACGCTTAGGAGGAACATACGTGTTTGCAATGCACCCGCACCCGTAAATAAACACGTTAACGCACAGCGCAATTCGCCCATCGCTTATGCCGTGCTCATACTGCCCTAACTCCGTTTACTTCTGCGGACTTGAGTAACTTGTAATGGGGTATAAATAAAACCAAAACATACTTTCGCAGCCATGCACGTTTTCTGCAACGCGCGCCCTGTACGTTCAGTAACATAAAACGGTCAACTCATATTTTCTTAGAGCTCTGCTGAAACACAAGGGGGTATTCAGAGCCGCAGGAAAAAAATGCGTCCAAACAGGATCTGAATGATGAAATAGGAATTGCCACGTTAAAAAAAAAAATTAAAAAATTTAAAAAAAAAAAAAAAAGGATAACCCAGCTGCCCAGACCTTTAGAAAATAACAGTTTCTCTAAGGCAGTGATGGGCTGCTTCTGCATGTTGCAGAAAGCAAAGCAAGCCACGTTGTCCAAAAGAAGCCTAGAAAATCCAGACTCTACGTGACCTGACTTACTTATTTCACAGGAAACTGCATGGAAGGAGGAGGGGGGGGGGGGGGGGAGGAGGAAAAAAAAAAACACCCCACCAATCATTCATGCTACCGTAGTTACACCACGCCATAGACTGGAGTAGTTTGCCGTGAAAAATCAAACTGAAATAAGCCATCACCCGTTTGAAAAATAAAACCTAAGAAAAGAAGCTGTTAATGCAATCAGGCTGGGGAGCCCTGGCTCCCCGACCTCCCTCTTCCCTCGGGTGTTGTTTTTTTGGGTTGGTTTGTTTTTTTTTTTAATTTTGCCTGCATTAGAGCATCGTTCAAGAAGGGCTGCAGCAAAAAAAACCACTCACCGGGGTTGTTGGCCTCCCCTTCGAGGATGTGGAGCTCGGTGCAGTCTGCCAGGGAGTGCTCCAGGCAGAGCTGGAGGAAGCGAGCTTGGGTCCGGCTGACGCGTTTCAGCAGCGAGAGCAGCGCAACAGTCTGCTCGCACTCGTTCCAGCCCTTGAACCAACCGTCCAACACGCCGACCTGGTCTCGAAACATCATGGTGAGCCGGTGGCCGGAGGAGAGACCTCTGCGGGGGGAGAAAATAAATAACTGGGAAAGCCTCCCCGCCCCGACTCCGCTTCCTCCCCTACGTCTTGGGTCAGGATTAAAAAATAATAATAATA